GGGGCGGAGGCCAGCCTGGAAATGCCTCTTTTCTGATTTGTTATTTTTCTCCGCCCTCCTTCCCCCCTTTTTCTTTCTTTCCGTGTTTGTTTTGTGGTTTTGTAGCGCTGGGTGACTTTCCGCGGAAGGTTCTTCCAAGTCTTGTGCAACAGGCAGAAGACTTGGCGAGCTGCCTGGAAGGGGGGACAGGGACACGGTTCTGTCAGCAGAGGATGTCGGTTGTAAATATCTCCTTATCCGCATGGGCAGAAGACTACGCACGGCTGTTTGTTTGTTTGAGTACTTCCAAGTCAATGAAGTGGTTGAAAACCACTTGCTGTGCCGGCTGGGAAGAGGTGCTAGCCAGGGACCTTCTGGTGAATGACCGTTTAAAGTCGTGTTAATGACATAATGACCGTGTTAACTCTTAAATAGGGAGAAATTGCCGCAAGCTCGCTGTGGAGAAGACTTTTGGGAAGATGGATACTTCTAGGGAAAGTGTAGGAGTGAAAGCCATTGAGGAAGGCAAAGTAAGATTAGGAAAACAGACTCCTGCAACCTTTTTTTTGTTTACTTCTTAGTGTTGCTACCAACCGCCACCATTAAAATCCCATTCTGAACTGTAAAACAATCAGAAGGAAGCCGAAAGGCTTGAGGCTCTTAACTGTATTCAAAGCTAAGCAATGAAAAAAATCAATGTTATCAGCAGCTCTGAAAACAATTTTCAAGTACAAGCTTGTAGCAGGACAACCAGTCTGAATTTTCTAGCAGTATAAATCACTGTCCTACCTGTAGGAGAAAAAAAAAAAAAGGAAAGGAATGTGGGAAAGCAACATCCATGCATTTGAGTAGCACATATGTAAACACCCTTGAAACACCTGAAATTTTGTAATGCTCTGTGACTTCTAGGAATAAAAATGTAAACAATGTATTGAACTGGTTTTTGAATCTAAATGTTGAAATCAAATCACTTTAGTACTAAGCTGTTGCTTGGGAGTGAAATGCATCCAGCTAGCCATGGTATCATCCTACTGTTTTTAAGTCTTCAAAATTAACTTGTTATTAATGTTTCTTTTGTCCTCTAGCACTGTCTCTGTAAGATATCAAGCAGCTACTTGAACTGCTTTTGCAGGTCTGTGCTTAGGCCTGCCTTATTAGCTCTGCTGCTCTCAAGTGAGACATGGGGTAGACAAAAACTTCTGGGCAGGGTTGATGAGCTGCAGGTGGGCCTTCCCGCAGGAGGGGGAATTGACTCAAGGACGGCTTCCTTGAGCATTGACTTTCTCAAAACCTTTTGCCTTGTTCCCAACAATAGGTCTCCTATAATTGCCATAAGCTGTAACAAGCACTGAATTATTTTATTGTGCAGTACCGCTGCTTGCTAGCCAGGTGTTTGGCAGGTCACATCTGCTGATGTAGCCCCATGTACTTTTGCTTGAACATGCTGAGTATGGCAGTGTGTTCTGTTCTGCTTCCTAAAAATCCTTGCATTTTTCCCAGGTGGTTTTTTTGTTGTTGTTTTTTGTTGTTGTTGTTGTTGTTTTCGGTTTTGTTTAGCAGTGGTTAAGCTTAGCAGTTTCCAGCTCTTGTTTACTAGCAAGCCTTGAACTAATTTCAAGATCCTTGAGGAAGAAAAATGAGAAAAGGAAGATGTCTTATCAGAGCTACTAAATGGTTTGAATTAGGGCCACAAAATGAAGGAGTGGAGGAAGTGTGTATCAAAGAACAGGCAGGAGACATCTCTGCAATGATTTCAGCATTGCATATGTTAGATTTAATCTAACTCAGTCCTAGTAGAAAATAGAGATTTGTTTAGAGCATATATATGAGGTGCTGTGAGTTATCATTTTGTGCTTCAATTTTACTTCGCCTAAAAACATTTACAGCCTACTTTTGTTACTGCTCAAAAAGATCCAATTTGTGCATTAACTTGTACAATTAACAAAGTACACAACTTTTTAAAGCTGTACAAGTTAATCTGGTAATGTTTAACCACACACCCACCAGTAAAGTGGTTTTCAGAGCTCCTGGAGTTAGGTAGGGCTTACATGGCTTCCTTCAGCTGACTGTACGAAATCAGAGCTTTTTCTACTGTCTCCCATTTTCTCTTCTTGCAAATAAAACACAGCTGTTAGCAATACAAACAGAAGTATTTGGTCAAAAAAAACCTGTAATTTGTATTTTGAATTGGATAGTGCTCTATATGCATTTAGTGCTCTTTTCACCTGTGTTGTAGGTGGTTCTACACCCAAGTATAATCCCAAGAAAACACAGATGATGCCTAGAGTTGCCAGTTGTTGCCTCAGTGGTTGAGGGTCGTGCTCGCAACAACTGAGTTGTTGCTACAGCATGTACCATTCTTGCAGCTTCGAAAAGCTGTGTATTCTCAAAAAGGCATTGTGTGTTTTTCCTGACAGTTCTTAGTTAACACTGGTGAAATACTGTGATTCATCATTGGTTATGTCAGCATAAAAGAATAATGTGCTTTTATTTCTACTTGAAATAAAGTAGAAGCACAAAGTATGTGTTGTTTGTAGTCAGATATCTAACTGCTTAAGAAGATCTTTGTAATGTGTGTGTGCACACGTGTTTATACATGTATATTACATATACATTTTTGCCTCTCAAACCTTGCCAGAAGTACAAGCTTGTAGCAGTGACAAGTTTTTAGTCTTGCACATCTGGGTGTTGATTCTTCCTACTCCGTTTTGTATGCAATCTATTCCTGATGGTTTCCAGAACACAATTACCCATATTTTCCTTCTGTTAAAGCAACTTTTCTATTTGTTTTCTGTATAGAAAGTCTATGGTGAGTCCAGCAATTTAGGCTTTATTTAGAATGTTTAATCTGTATTTAAAGTGTTGCAGCTACTGCTGATCACTCAAAGTTGGTATTCCTGAATCCAGTCCTGCTAGTCGGTATTTGTTTTACATGGCCAGGAGTGTTGAATATGAATTATTTGCAGGAATATTTACTTTCTAATAACTTCTTACTCTTGGGGGTCATTCATGATTAGTTATTCTCAAGGATTTGGGGCTTCCTTACTAGAAGAGGGTTGGTCATCTTGCCTCTAGGACAATAGGAGTCCATAAGTCTGTTTTACATGAGCTTTTTTAGCCAGTGACATGACAGGTGTTGAAACCCAGCATGAAAGAGTGAATTATTAGAAGATCAAAGGAATTTGGAGTTCCTGACCCCAAGTTCCAGCCATTTTTTTGAGAAATGCTATCGTGATGTCAGTGTCCTGCCTTCTGTGGCCTCAGTGGAAGTCTTTGCAGTGCAGTTGTTCCATTTGCTTGCTGCAAGGTTAAGAGTGTATGCTAGTAAAAAATGAGTTTTATCAGGAATATGCTCACGCATATATCATTTTTATGGCACAGCTATGTCTGTTAGGGATTTGTCAGCAGTTGTCTTGGTCAGAATTGACTATCTCTCTACTCTGGATTCCCAGAGCAATAGGGACAGGAATCTGTAGCAAAGATCTGATCTTTAGAAGTGAACCACATAGCAAGTTGCATTTGGGGAGCTGTAAAAGCCAAGCCACCTTTCTGTTGCCTCCTTGATCATGGTCATTAGATCCGTGCTTCTCTTCAGAATAGTGCTTTTCAGGGATATGCTTTGTAGCAGGTTAGCTACTCTAAGCATCTTACTTGTGGAGGTGTATTATGAAAGTTAGTATAACAAAAACAAAACCCTAGGAATTTATTCTGTGTTTAGAAAATTAGTTAAATTTCAAACCAAGGATTTGTTGCTTTCCAAAGCATGCTGTTACCAACTTAAGTCTTTGAACATTAAGTAATTTATAGTTTCCCAAAATATGAAACCAAGTATCTATCACATTATATGTCCACCCACCTGACAACCACTAGATGTAACTTGCTTCCAAAACTCGCCATCTGTTCTGTTAGTTGTTGTGACTTGTCAGATTTTGCCACATATGCTTAGTACCATTCCCAATATAGTAAATCACTCTATAGCACCTCTGCTGCCTGGACTGGATAACCTCTGCTTCTCCCTGTGATTTGAGATTGTGGATGTTGTGCACAAATGCAGAGAGGCTGCTGCATTTAAGTATTATTTGCTCACCTTCTAGTCCTTCCTGTCCTTTTTTAAACCAATCAATGGAATAAGATACTTTAATTGATAGTGTTATAGTGTTGAAAAGTACTAACTAGAGTGGTTAAATTACTATATAGGTAACTGCAGGATTTAAATGAACTATATAGAAACATTCAGATGTCAGGCCTTGATTTAAAAAATGCAGTTTCACTCTGAAAATTATCAAGTGCTGTGTTTGGATACAAAAATTCTGATATAAAAGCTGTGCTATTTCACAGCCAAAGACTAATAATCCAACAAAAGTATCATTTGATTACTTTAGAAGTGAGTTGTTAGCCCTTAGAAAATCAAGAAGACTGCATCTGTTTTTAGAGTTGATTGGCCTTCTGTAAAGGTAAAACCACCCATGTCTAGTTTGCTTTTTCTTTTATCATACATGTTAGTAAAGAGGTGAATTTTGACAAAATATACACTTTCTAGTAAGACTACCACAGTACATTTTCAAAGTAATGATAATATTTTGTTTTACAAATGAATGTTTATTTGCCCTAAATATTAGAATTGTCTGAGAAACTAATAACATTTGTGACTTTCTTGTAAAATAGCGTTGTGCTAGCAATTTTCTAGGAAGCAATCATTTGGAGTTTAAAATATCAGCAAAGGAAGGGTAATTAAGGGGTATTTTGTGTTGGCATGTGTGCATGGAGTGTTGCACGTTCTCAGAACCATTTGAGTTAGACGTTGAAAATAATCTTCTGGAGTTGTATTTCCTATCCAGTTACCAAATAAAAACAGCAGGTAAAAGTGTTTGTTGCTGTCTGTCTGCAGATATTGAAACAATGAAGCTTCTGTTTCTTATTAACTGTTCTGATGTTGCGTTCTTTGTCAACAGCTGAGAAGAACTATGCTGGTGTACCCTTCCTGGAAGGCTTCTCCGTGTGTCTTTGCATCTTCCAAATCAGGACTTAGGCCAAACCTAGCCAGTGAGGGGGTTGTCCGTGCTCCACTTCAGACATTCACAGAAGAAGAGATAATGCTGAAAAATATGGGTACTTATTGTCTGTGTGATTAAAATTCAGAAATGACATGGGGAATTTTAGCTTATTTCTTCTTCTTATTTACTTTCAGCTACATATTGAAAATTTTCTGTGTTTGATTTTAAAATTGCTTTAGTTCTTAAGAGGGGAAAAAAGTGATATTCTGTGTTTTTGGTTCTTCTCTATTCCAAGCCATAGTACAGTTTACTTTTCATAAATGTGTAATAACTTCTTTAAACCATTATTAATGTAAAAGTGATGTTTCATGCATTGACTTGTGTCTATTCCAAAATATTTGGTTCAGCTACGTTGAAATCTCTGAAAGCCAACAAGAGCAGTCAACATGCACCCTGTGAGTGGCAGATGTGATAAGTGTTCCACAGTCAGGCCTATGTGAAGACAGTGCTTTAGAAAGAATTTTGAAAGAAAAGGAGAAAGTGAGGGCCTGGATATTTGGAGAAGTTCATAAAAGGCTTGGGCTATGTTACTAGCAGAATTTTGTGCACTCAAAATAACATGCATTAAAACTTGAGACCGTCTTTGCTAAACACAATTTTTAAAGAAAGATACAGCTAACAGAGTAAGAGGTATATTTGAAATACTTTTGGGGTGGGGGAAGATCAACTAATGTCACACAAAAGCATAGCTGAAATCCTTTTGGGGTTTCTAAATCTATAAGCAGTATTTGTTTCAGAGTTTCTCTTTTAAAAGAAGTCAGAAAACATTTTGTTAAATGAGCCTCATGGTACTGTTTTAGTTGAGCAACTTTTTGGTCTTCAAAGTAGTTGCCTAGGAGACTCAGAGAATCACAAGTGCTGTATTGTTATATGGATCTCAAAAAGGAGTTTTAGAATACTTATACTATTTCTTTCTTCTCTTCATTACAGTGAAAAAATTTGCTCAGGAACGAGTTGCACCTTTGGTGCAAAAAATGGATGAGAATTCGAAACTGGAAGAATCTGTAATAAAGGGATTGTTTGAGCAAGGGGTCTGCACACTTTTCTTATTTTTAGTCAGAAAATTATGTTAATATAGATTAATAGCTGTGCACTTATCAGTTTTTTGGGTGAAAGGATTCAGATATATAGGTCAAGTAAACTGATGAGTCATTAAATTGTGGAATTATCGACAGAGGGATAACTTTCTCTTCTACTGCATTATCACTCTTTTATTGTAGTATTTTGTCCATCTCTTTTTATCCTTGTACTACATTCTTCATGTTAGTTTTGAGTCCTTTTCCTTTTTTCTTAGATAAGCATAATTGTGCAGAATCCTAGAATTGGCTTGACTGTCATAATGCTGCTGGAAAAGGGTTCCAGGAGTGCTAATTGGGCAGCCAGTTATTGCAGGCAACCTATTGATTGTTCCTGGAGTAGATTAAAATTAAATCTTTTAATCTTAGTTTTTTTCCTGCTATCAAACTTGAAATCTGTGCTTAGAATGTCGTTTTACACAATAAAAATGCTAAATGTAGGAGTTACTACAGTTTTTCCACTGCAGTTAAACATTGCAATTATTACAGAAAATTTGATTAGTTAGGGTCATGATTGGCCTGTCTGTTGCACAAGTGTGTTTTTCCTTGCATGAATGAACTATCAACTTCTATAAGGAGTTGTTAGCTTGTTGTCTTAAGGGTATTGAAGGAAAATATGTCTTAGGTAAGAGTATGTAAATAGTTGTCTTTTCTCTTAATCTCTAGTATCATCTTGGCTAAGAAGGTGTTGACTGATGTGAGAAAATGTGTATTTGTGCTCTTTTAGCTGATGAGTATTGAGCTTGGGGAAGAATATGGAGGGACTGGAGCTTCATTTTTTTCGACAATATTGGCAGTAGAAGAACTGTCCAAAGTTGATCCATCTGTAGCTCTTCTCTGTGAGCTCCAAAATACACTAACCAATAAGTTGTTTACCATACATGGATCAGAAGAGCAAAAGAGAACTTACTTGCCTAGAGTGGCTAAAGATACGGTGAGTTAAAGTCTCATTTTACTAATTAATATTTTTTAAAATAGTTATGTAATGTTAGCATCTTTTCCTGTGATTAAATGGTCAACTGTATCATTAGGAAATATTTTCATGTATGAACTCTGAAACTTTTCTTTTTTTGGGAGCTAAAATTTGTGGTGATATGGCCTGATCATTAGTAGCTGAGAGGTTAAAGATGGAAAAGCACTTACTTTCATTGAGACTTAATTTACTATAGAAAAGAACTTTAAAGCAGTTGATTTTTGAGAAGCTTGTAACTGCAGTCTGTATTCTAAATCTCCACCTCTGCATTTTCATTACCTTGATGCAACTTAAAATAGTTGATTTTTACAGGCTTGTTTCATTATTATTTTCCTTTCAAAACTTGTTGTGTATGCCAATATATGCAATAAGAAATAATACTATTTTTTTCAATTGGTAGATAGGCAGTTTCTGTCTGTCGGAGGCTGGATCTGGGAGTGATGCATTTTCTTTGAAGACTCGAGCGGAAAAGAAAGGAGACTACTATATCATCAATGGCTCAAAGATGTGGATTAGCTTTGCAGAACACGCAGGAGTTTTCTTTGTGATGGCAAATACAGATCCTGCTTTGGTAATTTCCCAAGGAATAGTTTTATTTTCAGTGACAGATTATAATATACTACTGGGTTTATATAAATAAACTGTTATTGGTTTCTTTGCACCTTTTCCTAACTGAAATCAACATATTTTGAGAAATGTTTTCAAGGGGGAGAAACTACTGCACAGTTTAATATATTTCTCTCAGCAAGAAAAATAAACATGATAGTCTTATTTGCGTGGTAAAGATGGCAGTAAGTTCTGATATTTTCCTGAGTCACCAAAGGACAGATAGGTCAGAAGACTTAAGTCTTTCTGACTTAACTTTCAAGTTACCCTTGTGAACTACAACTTAGGCTACATACAGTCAATATTAATAAGCATGAAACAGTGAAGTATGTTCAGGTAGCAAAACATAAAGCTGAACATACATGTTTCTTTTGTCAGATACCAACTTATGGTAGTATGTGTAGTGAAGACCTTAAGTGAACTGCAGACATTAGAAAGTACTATACCAAAACAGAAGATCAATAATCAAATACAAAAATATATTGCGTATTTTATTTTTTAAAACTTCTTCCAGGATCTCTTCCTTAATTTAAGCTGAAGATGCTTGGTTTTAAAGTTTGAAATCTTAACTAATGAAAAGGAGGTGAAAACCAAACGGTTTTGCTTTCACTGCATGGAACAATTGAACATACTTTTGCTTTCTTTCTGAGCTTGAATACATTTGTTTAAAAGCAGATGGGTACTCTGTAAACTGAAAAGAGACTTGGTAATACAGTTTCCATGTTCATCAGCTCCTGACCAGTGTTTCATCTGGAATTGTTTCTTTAATATAATGTTTTACAAAGGCATGTAATATGTTTTTATCTTAAAGTTATAAATTTGCTTTTACACCTCAGTATTCAATGAGGAGTTTAAAAGTCAATGTTGCTTGAAGATTAAGAAACAGTTGACATTGATATAAGTGATGAGAGAGCAGAGCACTGTGGAGCTGTGTACTGTTCTACACACTCAGCTCTAGCAGCTCCCAGTTGGTGAGACGGTTTGTTGTTAAGGTGAGATGTGCAGGAGAAACAGCAGGCTCACCATTAGTAAGAGACAACCCTTCTAACTCTCGTGCAAGAATGACAGCACCTTTCCTGCCTCTGCGTCATCCTCTTAATGAGAGGAGGTGCTGTACTAGGGACGGGAGGAGATGGCACCATGGGCAGGAACACCTCGCATCTGTTTGTGTCTTAGACCTTGTGTTAAGAGACACTGTGTTTCACGTGTATTCCAGCAGCAAGCAGTAGCCTCAGTGCACATCTGACTCGCTTGGCCAGTGGCTTCCTGTGTAGACAGGCACTATAAAAGACAGCTGTTGACTCTTTTCAAGTTGTATCATGGCAACTTTTAAGGTTAGGTTATTCTGATTGTACTTTTTCCCATGATATCCCTTATTAGAATGATATTCTTTGGCCTTCATTAAGCTATAATTATTCCGCATAGAGAGGACAGATGATGGTGCTTTATGTAGTAATGTGATATCAAGCAAGTGTAAATTTCAGTATTGGAATGATATATTTGAACCTTGTATTATCTTTTAAAAGTTCTTGATCCTTTTTTAATTCATCCTAGGGATACAAGGGAATTACATGTTTCGTAGTAGATCGCAACACAGAAGGACTGCAGGTAGGGAAGAAGGAGAATAAGCTTGGAATTAGAGCAACTTCTACCTGCACAGTAACATTTGAAAATGTTAAGGTATGGTAAGTTGTCTAGTTGTTGAAACATAACTAGTGTTATACTTGAGTATGGCCATATGTATGAAAAGAATGTTAAGAAAAAGCCTGATTTTTTTTTTTCTCTAAACATACTGATTATTTGTCTTTATTTGATTTTATTCCCCATTCTTTCACAAAAAAGGAAGAATTGGATTTCTTACATCTTGATATAATTTTTAACTTGTGATTTAATAGTGAATAGTTTTTCAATCATCAGTTTATAATCATGCATAGTGGGGAAGGTCCTAATCATGTAAGGAATTAGATGCTGGTTTTGTATTTCATGCCTTCATTTCGTACCTTTGTTTGAGGAGCATTTTATTCATCTGTGAAACCTGCTAGCAGATGCAAAACTGAATAGAATAGAAATAACCAAGTGGTTTTATTCTGTAGGTTCCTGAGACCAATGTCCTGGGACAGATTGGACAAGGATATAAATATGCAATTGGAACGCTAAATTCTGGCAGAATAGGTATTGCTGCCCAGGTGGGTAACATCTTTATCACTTAATGCAGTTATTGTATGATTATGAGTTTGGACTGAGACCTATGAAGTGCTGAAAGTGTTTGCAAAGAATAAATATTTAGAAAGTACTTCATGGGAAAAAAAAATTGCCACTAGATGTCACTATTCCTATGTCGAAGTTACTGTAGTATGCTGAAACAACTGTAAATGCAAAATTCTCCTTCAGCAATAGGAGCCCTGGGTTTAAGAAGCATTAAATGGCAATTAGTTTGACTTTGATTAACTATTGCTGCTGAAGTATGTCAATGTCTTTATCTTCTATTATGTTCTAGAAAACTGACAGGAAAAAAGAAAAAGACAGGAAAATACAATGTACTAAGAAGTGTACTAATGCTTCTAGGATAATTGTACAGGCTTTTCAGACATGACCACTAACTTACTTTAAAGTCACAAAAATATGAACTCTTATACCAACTTTTTTTAGTTCTTTGCTGTGTTTGAAAATTGCATATTGTGGTGTCTTTGGGAAAAGTGTGGACCTCTGAATAGTTTGAGTGCTATGTCTTGTTGTAAACTGTTTGGATCCCAAACTGCAGTTGGCTTTGGCAAGCTGGATTCAGCCATGTGATAAAATAGCTTATGGCAAGTTTTTATTTCTTCAATTGACCTCTAAATGGAAATGCAGCTGATAAATGTGCCTCTCCTGGTTTTATTTTGTTGTGCGTGATGTTGTGCTATAATGGCTTATTTTTACCAAGCCTGCAGACATCCAGGGAGGCCGTCATGAAGTTTAGGCTCTCCACTCAGCAGTGTGCTGTGCTGCTAAATGGATTGGCTTTTCCATCCTTTTTAAAGATTATCTGTGATTAAACTTTGTCTGATATGGCATTTAAAAACTGGAGCCATGGGCCTCGTTGTTCCCAGAGATACAAATAATTTAGATATTCTGGTAGTAAAATACATGATCTGTGTTCTACTCTAATTACTCCAAGTAACTTAATTAAAAGTTAAGGTCAGGTGGTTGTTATATTTTAGTTACTACTTTCGTTAGCACCATCAAATGAGGAGAAATGTGCTTGAGTGAACAAGAATAGCAGTTCTAAAGCTCTGTAGTACTGAATTTATTTTTGTAGGAGTAATAGCTTAAAAGATAATGAACATCTTAAAATAATTGCAGCTGTGCAAACAGTTTCAGTTCTAGTGCAAAGTAGCTGTATGTATTGTTACGGATGCTGAAGCTGATATGATGCTTAGTTCATCTCTACATGTGACTGTTCTGAAGGAAGGCAACAAATCTTCATGGTACAGCTAATTAACAATGTACTACATTGTTTTCATATGCTAATCTCCCATGTATTCGTTTTCCTTTCTTTTTTTCTAGAACCTTAAGTTATTAGGAAGTAGCTGTTTCTGAGTCCAGTCAGTTATACTTTTATCTCCTTGGGGCCATTGACTTTCAGCTTAAAATGTCAGTCTATCAAAAAGGTATACTCTTCTACATCATTAAAGGTAGACTGGTATAAGCTGTTTGATGGCACAGCAGATTGTCACTCTCTAATATCTTGTCATGACTTGGAAAAGTTTTAAAATTTCAATTTTACTATTTCCTGTTTTGGTTTTTTAGTTCATGTCATTTGTTTCTTTTCTATCCTTTCCTCGTTTTGTGTTTCCATTGATGTAATTTTCTATTTTTCCTTCTCTTAGGAAACAACTAGATAGACAGAATGTCTCCAAATGAATAGGAAGTTATGGAATGAAATCACTGATTTTATTTACTATTAGTGATATATTTCAGACTGTATGAAAGGCAGCATCCATTCTTTATTGTTTTCGAAATGGAATATGCTTCTCATTTGGTATTTTCAAAGTTGTAAAACTTCTGGTATACTGCACAGTTTTCATAATCCTTGTCTATGCTGACAAATGGGAAACCAGGTAGATATAAGTTTCTTTAAGTTTATCACATTATTCCCAGATTGGCCCCCAAGATTAGTGTACATAGCATTTAAATATTTACAGACAAACCCAAGATCTATTCAAATAATTGTCTTCCTGAAGAAGGCATTATTTCTGGTAGTATTAATAGTGGAATATGGAGTGATATTAAAGAAGAAATAAGGCTTTTTATTATGACATCTGAGGTCTGAGTATTAGGCAGGATGAATTCTGTTAACACTGAGCGCTTGAGACAGCATTTCAGAGCTCAGAGTACTAACAGAGCAACAGCTAATTTGTTATTTCTCAGTCGATGATTTTGATCCAGCTCAACTAGGGAAGTTATGGTCTACCACTTAGTTACTGTTGATGTTATGTATGAAACTTGCTGTTGTGTTTTTTCCGGTTCCTCAGACAGTGTTTTGCTGCCATCCTTAGAGTGAAGAAAGTGTGTGGAAAGACATTCTTCTAAAATTATTCTGTCAAGGTGTTTTTTTCCCAGAAAACACTTGAACTTATGCTCCTCCTTTTGCTACTGTACTAATTCTAACTTCTGAAATACTGATTCTGACAGCCTGGTATTTCCTATAAAAAGAGAAATTATTTGTAATGCAAAAATAATTTTCAATGTCCTTTCAAACTGTCTATCTTTTAATAATGTAACTTAAATATAGATTTCTGTTTACAGTCATTTTCCTTTGTAGAGTTAGTTAAGAATATTTCCAGACACATTTAATGCTTGAAGTCACACTTGATGACTTTTTTTTTTTAAAGATGGCCAGTGTTTTTTAAATATCTTTAACAGGATGTTCTTTGGAGTATGTAATAGATTTCAGTCCTCAAGCAGTTATTTTGGTTCTTACTTACCTCAGTCAATCTAATAATTGTTAAGAGTTCTGCCTTGGGATATTCTGTACAGATTTGTTATATTCTGACTTTGTACCTAGAGATTACTAATAAAGAAAACTCTTCTGAATATGAGGCTTTGTTTAAAAAGGCAAACTCCCTGACCAGAGCAACAACTCTTATGTCCATTGGGTGCATTCAACTAACTACTTTTTTTCTGAGTGAATTTTTTATTTCTTACAGATGCTAGGATTGGCACAGGGATGTTTTGACCATACAATTCCCTATACAAAGGAGAGATTCCAGTTTGGGAAAAGAGTTTTTGATTTCCAGGTATTTGTCAGTGAATATATGGGAAGTTTTCTGCCAGAGAATAGTAGTTATCACAGTATGAAGTCACTATAATGAGTAATCTGATTTGCATAATTTGTGCTTCATCTTGTGTCATATCTCTGCTTTTCAATATTTCAATTGTTTAAAAAATCAATATTTGTTATGCAAAATATGTAAGTTGAGTGCTGTATTTCTGCAAGTGCTATATAAAGCAATTTAAAACTTTAGAGCACAATTCTTTTGATTGACATATTAATTGCAATTGAAAATAACACACATGGCACTGCTTTCACTTTAGTTTTTAATGTCTGTGTTGAACGTGCTTGAGTGTTTATACCCTTTTCTTGCAGTAGAGGAAGTCATTTTTCTGGAGATCCTAGAAAACAAAGATGTGGAAAATTGAATTATTAGATTTCCTGTTTAATGCAACAACATTAGTTTTCATGATGTCTGTATCTTAAAATTAAAAAGACTTGCTTGTGAAAGTGATGCATAGTTTAATAAGGTAGATGTATAATTATAGTTACTATAGTAAATTTTCTTGTTAGAAAAAAGTTACGTCATGACTGAAGGGAAGAAATATTAGGGCTTAGTCTTGTACAAATTAGAGGAAGCATCCACAGATAACTAGAAATTATTTTAACTGTGTCTTTTGAATGAGAATTCAAGTTGTCATTCCTCAAATTAGGAACTTAAAATTGCCTAACTGTAATTTTGTTATTTTGACTTGCCTATATATTTTTGCAAATTTTAGTGAACAGCATTAATGCGTGTTTTCTAATTGGATGAAAAATTGTATTTAGGAGCAAGTTAGACCTCTGAATGTTATTTTTCAATTATCTTAATGTTTGGGTCTTTTTAAATAAACCTACTCTTCTATAATATGTGCTGTTCAGAGGTGACCTCCATCACCTCTTCCCTTCCCTGTGAGCCCATTCATCAGTCATGTCCTCTCTACATACTTCTGTACGTATATTTGTTCTTATCTCATAGTCAGAGGACCAGAGAAGAGGGCTTTTTTGAGTCTTTTTTTAAGCTTCATCAGGGAAGTATGTTATTTAACATAAGAACGTTCTTAATGCATAGCTGCAAAACAAACAAATGGGGCTGAAGTTTCTCTTGATGTTTGTGCGGGCAGTCAGGTCCATGTTGCACCCTCCTATCTAACCAGTCAGTCAAGTTTCCCAATGCTCCTGAGCTCAGGAAGAGGGAGCTGCATGTGGGAGTGCAGGTCCTAAAAAGGACTAACTCCGTTAGTTCCAACTACAATGAAGTTGCAGAGGCATACAGAATTACTAGTGCATCTGGAACTTGATGTCATTTTAGAGTATAGGTATGTTCCTTTGAAAGCAGTGATTCTTGCCAGAAGTTCCAATTAAATGCTAGCCATTAGTTCTGACTCATGGACTGCTCATTACAGGGGATGCAACATCAGATAGCTCATGTGGCCACACAACTGGAAGCCGCGAGGCTGTTGACCTACAATGCGGCTCGGCTTCTGGAAGCAGGGAGGCCATTCAGAAAGGAGGCAAGCATGGCCAAATACTATGCAGCTGAGGTAACTTAAAAGACTTTTTGATTTGTTCAGTCAATTTATTCCACTGCTATTTAAAAGTTTCTTCTTCTACAGAATGAGTGGGTTAAAATATAAACATGTTTTGGCGTGGAATCTGTGGATTTTCTTTTGTCTCATTTCTCACTCTGTTATCAAACATAAAGCAGGTCACTAAGGAACAATCTACTAAAGCCCTTAAAGTTTTTAATGCTGTGTCATTTCTCAAAGAGAAAGTGAATTAGTAATTCATTCATTCACAGAGATTCTCTCAAAATTCCCTTTGTGTTACTACATTGGCATTGATGGGACGCTTTGAGTCTTAATATGATTCAAACCCAGCTGTGTATAGGATTGCTTCTGTCTCTTTTCAGTTACTGTTTTGAGTATTGCTATTTTTCATGGTCACTTCAGGCTATGAACTATTGCAATAGCAGTGAATTCTGTGTGTCCTGGAGTGACATAGGAATTACTCTTGTTTGTATATGTTATAAGCATATTGTTTTTGTACTTTATCTTATGCAGGCTATTTTAGAACACAAGTATTGGACCTTCATTATACCACTCTTAGTTACTGCTTTAGTTACTATTTTGTTCAATTACTAGATTGTTTTTTCAAATACCTGCAAAGAATAAAACTCACTACCACATCTGAAGTTAAATGCTGTTATTTTAATTCTGAAACTAATTTTTCATAGGTTGCAACACTGACAACGAGTAAATGTATGGAATGGATGGGTGGAGTTGGATTCACAAAAGATTATCCAATTGAAAAATATTATCGTGATTGCAAGATAGGTGGGTGATGCTTTTTACTGAATATTTCTTGTAGCGTTAGTATTACTCAAGTTTGGAAGTGAATGACTGATTGTTGTGTATTTAAAGCTATTTTCTCCTGATGCTGTAATTATCATTGACTTAAATGTTCAGTTAAAGAGATAAAGCTTTAGCTATAAAGCCTAGCTAAAATGCTTGATTAGATATAAATAATAGACAGATAAACACTTTATCATGTTTCATTGAATAAATTGATAGTTCAGCTCTTTTACCTAAAGTTATGTGCCTGGAGTTTTGTTTTCAAGATTTCCTTGTTTACAAATCTATTTTTTGACCTAGTCACTTCACACTTCCAACAGTATTAGCCTTTAACTTTTATTTTTGATGTCATTTTAAATACTTAAGTTTTGTTAGTTATCTTTGTTTCTCCCTTAAATTTTAATTTACAGCAGAAAAGGATTTTTATTACTGTAGACAATAAAATATTAGAATTCATTTAAATCTGCTCCCAAAACTTGCTCACTGAATCTTCATAATTGTTCTAACTGGACTGTTAGAACAAGAACTTGACCTATCTTGGTGTATCTACTACAGTTTTACATTCTTCTAACTTATATTCTTCTGATTTCAGGTACGATATATGAAGGAACTTCAAATATCCAGTTGAGCACCATTGCAAAAAGCTTAGCAGAGGAGTACTGAAGCCATAAGAACTTTTTGCCTGTTACAGAAATTATTCCACTGAACACTAATCATGAACTTTAGATTTGCCTGTGATTATGAAATCATAAAGGACATAAAACAACATACATTCTCATTGGTTAAATCATAAGGAAAACCATGAATTCCCATTTCATGATAGGAAGCAATTCATGTGAAATCATCAATTCCATACTAAATTTCAAATCATGCTAAAATAGGCAATTGTAGACCTTTCTGTCTGAGAACCTTCTAATGTAGTGCTTTGTTTTAAAATATTGGTTTAGATTATGCAATGTATCTCAATTTTGAGATTTAAGAGTAGAAACAAACAATTTTTTGCCTAATGCAAGAGAATGTATTAAGCTGCCTGGGATTGTTGCCTAGGGTAGAGCTGTCTGCTCTTGATATCCTGTATTCTCTGCTATGGGGTACAGTAGAGGTGAGTGCAACTAGAAGTGACAGTTTCCTCTTTCCGTGGCTGAGTGATTCCTACAGAGCTGCTGTAATTGTAGTAATTTTTATAGCAGCTCTTAGTGTATTCTTAAGTATATCTTGGTAATTAAGCCCTTCCAGCCTCAATTTGTAGTAGTGAATGGTAGATAATATCTACCTCCCTTTCCAGCCTTCTTCAGCTGTTAAGGGTTTTAATCTAAGGTGCTATTTACAGTTCTCCTTTTATAAAAGGTTGAGTTGAAATCTCTGTGAAATGGGGTTAAGAAAGACCTAGTAGCTTTGCAAAAAGACAAAGATCCAAGGTAGGTAATAGGAGTTCTGTAATACCACCTCACAGTAGCTTTTCTACATTTAATGCCTTTTACATACTTTGATCCTCAGAGCCTTCCTGGGACTTAGTTAATTTGCAGCTGAGAACTCTCAAGGAAGTCAATAGTTCTCTACAGAGAGAGCAAAGTGTTTCTCCATATGAGATATCTTTTTTCCTTTTGAGGAGAAAAGGGAGAATTTTGTATATATGTGTGTACATGTGCATGTGCCTGTGTGCATACACACAAATATTTTTCCAGGAAGATTTGATTGTCCCTCTCCTTTGGAAGTATTTTGTTTACTAAAGAAATCTTCTTGGTCTTAGAAAGTTACTAAGTTTTCAGTCTCTTGATTCTTTATTATCTGAAAAATTACTCAGAGACTCATCTCACTGATGAGAATATTTTCAAGTATGCGGTTTTTCTAAATTCACAAGAGACAGCAAGAAGAATCTCATTTTTCAAACTTGCTAGTCACTGATATTTCACTTTAAATGGGACTTAGATTGTTAGTCTGAAGCTCCCAAAAGATGTTTTAGATAAGTTAGGGGAAAATAAGACTTAAGGATGTTGTGTTGGGTAAAGCAAGCAGATTGCACTACATTGTATTATACAAAGGAGGCACAGCACCGTTCAAGTTGGGAATTGTTTTCTAACTTGCTTTCAGCCTCAAAGGGAAGTAGCCAGTGAATGAGTCCCTGCACACACACTTGGCCTGTTTATAAACAAGGGATTAATGTTGTAATTATTCTCATGCCAAATAAACAAGTACCTTCTGCATTTCTTTGATCAATAACTTGGAGATTTTCAAAAATACACAGGTAGGAGAGTAGACTAGATGATTTCTGAAGGTTTTTTAGCTGTATTATTAAAAATGCATTTTAGATTGCTTGTGAGTTTTCTTTCAGCTTAACCCATCTGCTGAGGATATTGTTAGACTAGAATGAAGGCTATGGTCACTGCAACAGCTAACTACAGTTACCCCAGTCAGTATACTCTGAGTCTAAAATGAGCACAGCCAAGCTGCAAAATGTTAGTTATATTGAAGAACAGGATACATTGTGCTAGTGGCCTTAACTTACAGGTTAGCCTGATTTGCTAACATGAGTATGAACCGAGATCAGGTTGTTGATTCATACAGTTTAATAGGTCCCCTGCTCTGAGATACTGTCTTAGCCTGGCTTCTGGAGTCCTGCATGACTCCAGGAAGTGACAGTGCTCACCTGAGTTAACACATGCTAGAATCAAACCTGGTCTCAATTCAGATTTATGGAGTTGTCAAATGAATGCTGAATTTTACCTGTCCAGGGTTATGTAAAAGATCTGTGTCTTTGTATAGAACTGTCAGGAATGTATTTTTTAAAAATAATCAGGACAAATCAAAACAGTGTGATTTCTTGCAATCATAACTTTCATGCTGTGTTCCAGGAGGCCACCCAGACAGCCTTGTCAGCTTAACAGTTCATCTGAGAAAAGGACAGATAATCCTTGGATCAGTTTTATAGCTGTAAATGTTCTAGGTCTCTTAGTTGCATATGTTGTATTTTCTAAGTCCACAATACTGTCTGGGAAAATTCAATTCCCCTGCTGTGCTAATGTAGATCTTGGTTGAGTAAGAAGAGCTGTTTGTTTGTGCAAGAGCTGCCCTCCCAGTTCAGGTTGGGAAAGACACCATGGATTGTCGGAAATCACACCTGTACATTTGGCACTGTTGGGCCAAGGACTGTTCGTGGTAGTTGCTACACCAGTGGTTGTAGGGCTGTGATTCAGGGTGGTGGTGTGGATGCTGTGGAGCTTTTGGTGATGAGGGGAGAACTTAAATCTTCATGGTTAGTGAGTTTTCCCTTTTTATGCTTCGGTCAACATAGTCTCATCTATAGCCCCGAAACATCTTCAGTCATAGAATGCTACATCTGAGCTTTTCTAGTTAGAAAAAAACATATACTGAGAATGTATTAAAAAGTGCCTGGATTTGCATTGCTAGTACAATGTATCAACTGAAGGTTCTCGAGATTATTAATCTGTCATTTAAAATCTGGGACATGATTCTGTGCCCCTTTTTAATAGAGTGAACAGAATGTGTGTTAGTACTGTTCTGGGTCATGATAAAGTTTTAAGGCATGTTGGCACAGAATGGTTTAATTACTGCATGGAAAATATCAAATACAACATTTTATATGATGTTTTCTGTGTTATTCTTTTGTAAGTGGAGAGAATTCTGTGCTGTCCAACAGGTAGAGCAGAACAGTAGGATGAAATTAAGGAAAATATAAGTTAGTTGGATATAATGGAAAACTTAATGAGTCATTTTCATTAGATGGTGGAGTGATCTAATTAAGTTGAGAACATTATTAGGGTGCTAGAGTAGAAGAGAGGAAGTACTTCAAGTACTATGGGGACCCATTCTTTCTTTGAAAGGGAGAGGAGCTGCTGCTGTGCTAAATTATAATGTTCATAGGAGACCAAGCTTTACTTTTTCCATCTATTTTCCAGAGATTTGCAGGCTTGCTCTTTGAGCCTTTTACTATTTAAAGAACTTTCCAATTAACATATAATTACATTTCCATTCAGAAATCTTTTGGTGAGAGACACCCACTTGAAGTTCTTCATAGCAAGAGAACCTAGATTTGAAGTGCGGCCTGGTTCTGGGAGAGCTGACTTGGAGCTTGTTGATTGCATACGTGAGAATGGAAGAAACGTTTCTCCTTCACCCCAGAATGTATCCACTGGACCAATGTGATAAATCTTACAGAAGAGTGTTGTGAATGTGGTTAATAGCTACCACAAATACTCTGTAAATGCTTACCTGTTACCTCTACAAACTATCGGAGGCACAGATGAGAGTTGAAGGCAAGATGAATGTATTGTGTGATTCCCAAAGAATTGTCGTTATTTGTAACTTGTTGTTTTGAAACACTGTAGTTGCCGAGTGTTCACCAAAGAGTTGTCCTCCTGTGCAGGTTGTGCCCCTAGATCTAGGTGAAGTGGAATGGCTGCAAGTCTCAACTTTGCTGCATGTGGCTCCCTTAGAGGTGAGTAACTGTATGCACAGGATATATTCTTGGTTTGCTTCTAACCATTCTGAGTCTGGTTACAAAATCTTTTTTAAACAGAAATGAAGATAGAGAGTTTCAAGGCAGCAATAGCACTCTTTTATATTGTTCTCTTCAGGATCATATAGACTTACATCTTTCTGAAACTGGTCTTCCTGTTAGGTGTCTTGTCTTTATGCACATAGTCTTCTAGAATTAGTATCAGTGGAGCTAATATGTCAGTGCCTTCACTAAATATCCCATCTAAAAACAAGCCCTCCCTGCAAATAGAAAATAATCTCTCACTAACCAAGTAACTGGTGGTTTCAGAAGAATCATCGAACGTATGTAATGAGAATTTTCAAACTTCCTAACAAATTAGTTCATAAAAACAATTGTAGGGATGTCTGGAGCAAAGAAAACTATTAGAAGCTGTAAGTACTGACATGCTTGGTACTGTGAAAGGGAAAAAAATAAAAAATAAAAGCACCTAGGAGCAACAGGAAAAATCTAAAATGCCTCAATAAATCCTTAACTTCCACATTACTGCCTTGTTTATTTGTGGGTTGCCTGACCAGGAGATCAGTATATATGGACTGAAAAGTGAATCTACCCTAGGCTGCAGAAGAGAAGGTCTGCTTCCAGTCTGTTTGAAATGTGACACACACCATTGTCACAGTTTGACAGTTTTAAAAACATCTGTTACAAATCAGCAGATAAGGCAGGGCTGGCCTGCTTTTGATATGTTTAACAAAAAAGAAATGTCAACTTGCAGATACTAGCAGGACTTAAAATTAGCATCATCTGTAAGTTGTCTAGAGGGCCATAATGGGAAAGCATCCATTGATGCCAAGAGCTGAAATGTTTTTTAGGGCTACAGGCAAGCTGGCACAATAAGAAATATCTTAAACTTTTCCTGTTACAGTCCTACTTTATTTCCTGGTGTAAGTAGGACAGAGTTGCTGAGCTGCAATATGACCAATTCACATTGATCTGTATCCCATGTCTTTCTGGACCAGATGAGTTTGGTGGGTTGGTTTTGAAAAAGTTTGCAATTTGAAGCCTGCAGAGCAGTCTGACCAAGTCTGTACTTCATGGGGAGCAAGTCCACGTGTCCAGAGCTGTTGTCAGTCTGGGTCAGGGGCTGTTTCTTTGCTCATGGTTTTCTCTAGGTTGGTTGCTGCCAGCTTCTTGGAGGGCTTTCACCTGAGTTGTCCTCCAGGGCATACTGCAAAATTTTGCTATTCACTAGACCTTTACTAAAGATGTGAGTTAAGTGTTAAGTTAAGAGTGAGTTAAGTTAAAGATGTAAGTTAAGTAATTTTAGTGTAACCAGAGCAATCATGCAATTTTATTTTTGATATCATCTGTCAAATCTTTAGGCTGT